GGAACATGAGTATGAGCTTAACCACGCTCAATACTCTTTAGAAGCCCAATCGCCACGGCCTGTGTTAGAATTATCAATTACTTCAATGATACGTGCTCATTGAGCGACCGCATCCCTTGTAATCTTCAGCTTCTGTTGTTATCCGCTGTGCTCGGGTAGGAACAGTAGATCAGCGATCACTGTTGACCCGGTGATTTCCGTCAAGCAAATCGTAGCTGATTACATTGGTATTTCATTATCCACCCATTCTAGCGCATGGATAAACACCAAAACGATCCTCGCGCATCTCTTCTTCTGGGCACTCTGCAAGCCACATCAGACTACAGAGTGCGCCCCCTTACATGCTGGTCACATTCCAATAATTCCACGCGGTCAGTGGACCAGTCACTTCCGGGAAGCATCCATCCTTTGGCGGTCTGCCAACCCGCCAATTTAGTATCAATTCGAAGATGAAATATTGAATTATTCAAAAGAATGACTCTTTACCAGTCGAGTCCAGGTGTATTCATGCCCTCTACAGGCGAACCCTTTTTCAATGAGCACACACGAGGACTTATGGAGTTCGATGAAGACTTTGAAAATGGATTGATCAAATTGAGCATCAAGTCTTCAGACCAGGAATAATGAGGTCTAGACCCGTCTAGTAAGTGAGCTCGGGTTCAACCATCGTGGACAATGCTGACAACATGCGAATTCCTCTTGTATCAACCGAAACGTGTCCAGGCAGCCAGTTGAAGACTTCTGATCAGAAAGATATTTGGAACAACCACTTTTGATAAAGATCAAGTGCCACTTCAGGCTGATCTAATGGAACCTGCGCTGCGTTAGCCTCGGTAGACTCAGCTGCTATCATAATATGCACTCACCATGTGTCCAGATTTATCTACCGTGACAAACGCGAAGCGCTGTTTGCCAGAGCCCCCATTGGGCACAGATGCGGAGACTTCCTTGAAACTCCCAGCCTTGACTTTGCTACCACCTACGTTCGAGTACCAAGGTTTTAGATCTTCTGAAGTGAACGGTGCCTGTCCATTCCAACGTAGAGCATCCGCCCACCTTAAGTTTCCCGCCGTGTTGCATGCAAGGTCCAAGTTTCCATTGTATATCAACACGTCCACTCCATGTTCCAATGTGTACTTGATATCATTCATGGCATTGCTGTACAGATCAGTGGTAGCCTCGAACGCTGAAGCAACTTCTTTGGATTCAATGGAGAAGTTCAGAACAGCTTCTGGAACACCAAGAGCAGCCCAAGTGCTAGGCTTATTTATGTATTTCTGAATCTCGAGAGTTTGCGAGAAGCACAGGTGGTCCACCTCACAGATTCGAGTGACTGGCAAGCATCAGCATATTTTTCTTTTAGGAAGCATTGAAGTCCAAGCCTTACTATCAAAAGGATCACGTCCCCCTGCATGTGACTCGTTGTGGTACAGTTCCTTTATGACGCCACAAACTGCATCCGCAGCTCTGCATAGAACCTCGTCTGGATATCGATAGCACACCTCATAAATGCTGATACATCTAGGCAGGTTCTCTGAAATAATTTTGCAGCGGGTCTGGTTGAAAACAGGTTCGTCAACGCCTGGCTTCGTCGTGCAAAGCGTCTCGTAATATCCGTATATTGTGTCGAGGGGCGAAATATAGCCATTCCCGACCAAGATCGATCGAAGTGGAATCTCTGGCGTTTCTGGGACCCGGTTTTGCCGAAGTATCTCTCGTGACAAGGTAGGAATATAATGACCCTTCAAGATACTGTTAGAGTAGAACGGCCAACTAATTTTTGTGAAAAAAAGGAGCATACAGCATAACTCTCCCCTGCTATGTGAAAGGCTGTTTGTCGGCGTTCAGGAAAGACTTCCGTCATGAAGATTTGCAGAAAGATATACATATCTTCTGCAGCAATTTCGGAAGTCGTTGGGATATTCATGTGAGAATCCACATACGAAAGCCCTGTTCCTACCGGCTGGTCGACAAATATCATCGATGAGTATCTTGTCCAAGAATAAGGGTTTCTCTCTGTGTGATTGCCTCCGGTCTGGATGCGACAAGGACCTAATTCCAGCATTAAACCTGATCTCCAGTTAGTCGAACTGAATCGATTCCCTTTATAGGCAAAGGAGAATCCTCACCAACCAAGCTGCTTACGCCAGGTCCTCCCGTCAACCACAATGTGAGCGGATCAGCCAGGGGATCATTCAGGCTGTCAAAGTACCCTTCCATCACACGGTCAGCAAGGGTATGTGTTTACTCGTCTCAGAACCCACAGAAAAATATATGCTTTCCGTGAAATTCAAGCCATCCAGTGTACTGCTTCGACCCTGCGTCGCAGACTTCGTCATTCTGCTCTTTGATCCGGATCGAATGGGAAGGAAATGCAGGGCTTCTGAACGTCGTAAACGACCCATCTTCAGAATTGCAGGAGAGTAGAGCTTGAGAGCCCTCTGAGACTGCTACTGCTCCCGTTGCAAGTGCGAATAAACCAGCAAATGACCACTCTGCGAGCCAGCGTCTCATGGTGACTTTCTGGGTGGCCAGTCGAAGTGAAGAAGAACAGCCACAAAGCCAGCCGAAGCAAAGGCATATTGCTCAAATTAAAAGTATTAGTGAGCTCAAGGTCATATGCCAGGATTTTTATTGTTATCGTGTGTCTTGCTGGGTTGTGTTTGTGCCATGTTCAGTTCGGTGTTGGCACTAGCGGTGGACATTCCCAATCGGGTAACTAAGAACGACCACCTCGTCGAGAATCGAGACGTGCTCTCTTTTCTCGCCTCCCACATCTTTGAGACTAAAGCCCTATCAGCGGGTGATCGACGTGTTGTTGGCGTGGTCGTACGATGGGAATCAATGTGGGAATTTTGCACCAATCCATTGGGCCCTATGGCAGAAAAGCTTGATCTGGCCCCATGTTTTTTTGCCCACCTGGGCGCCTCCTGCTTGTTGGGATCTACCTGATAGAGTGCTCAGACATGGCGGACTCTGGACTTACTCGATTAGGCAATTTGTATAGCAAGGTTAAGTCTACCTATCTGCGTATCCTGCTCTTGGCTGTGCTATGTGGCCAGTCAAGCCTTGCGTGGAGCCAAAAGGTCAAGGTCAAGGGGAATCATCTGTGTGTGACCGTGTCTGTTTACTGATATATACATCTCTTTAGTCCAAGATGAAATAGACACTTCTTCAAGAATTCTTCTTTTTTCTTGCATGCAGTTCTCAATGTCCCGCCCTTGGTTATAAGAGTGAGAGCACAATTAGTCCTACTCTTCATACAATCTCCTCACAACATATCAATATACTGATAATTATGCCAATTTCCTTCCCTTCACTTGAGCTTACCATGCTAGTTGTAGCTGGGCTGTGCACGCTCATATACGTTGCCAACATTGTACATCTTTTATCTCGACGAACGCTGGCCAGTCCAATGGCATTGAGTGCAACACAGATACTCTGGGGAATACTAGGGTTTCTTTCTGCCGTGACATGCACGATCTCTTCCTTTGCCTCTCTGTGGACTGAGGGCTTCGATAAAAAATCAAGGATTATTACAGCCTCGCTCTGGGTAAATTTTGGCAAGTTATAAATGAATAAGAACTTCACTAACTTCTCAGATGATCATATCACTACTCCGAGCTCTCTTCCTGGCGCCAACGCCTTGTCGGTTCCTCTTCCTAAAAACCGCAGCATTTCTCAGTCTATCCATCTATCTCACAGTAGATGTGCCCCGGCGGTTATACCCAATGATATGGCTTCAAGTGTCAAGTCCCGGACTCTCCTCGTTGGATATTGTCCAGCTAGTGGCGAGCTCTGCATGTTCGGTTCTTGTTCCTATTCTCTCTCCAACCGTAAACACTTCGATTAAGGGTGCATATCACCCTCAAGATACATGTTCGCCTCTCTCCCGATGGTGGCTTTATACTTGGGTCAGCCCCTTGGTGACACTCGGCTATGAACGAAACGGCTCCATCAACAAGGAAGATCTCTATCCTCAGAGAAACGAGGCCTCTGTAGAGACTTGGCAACAAGCCTATGCGGATTGTTGCCCGGAATCTTTACCTTTCAAGTTCATTCTCTGGAAGTTGTTTCGAATGAGGCTAGCTACAATGGCATTATTTGCAGGCCTGTGTGGCTTCTTCGAGCTTCTGGGGACGATCGGGCTACATCAGCTTCTTCTTTTCCTTCAAAGTCCATCTGAAGCCAAGCTTCAACCCTGGTTCTGCATCACACTATTTGCGGTGTCGCCGATCATTCGTGGTCTATGCATGCAGACTTTCGAGTATTTTGCTACCCACACAATAGGAGACTGGAAGTCTCTTATCGTGGCCTCTGTATATCAGAAAATGACGATGCTTGAGGCAGATGCAGATATTGATGTTGGGCAATTACAGAGCATTATATCAGTCGATATTGACAGGTTGGGTACACTTCGATACACCGCAATGACGGCATTCATGGTCCCCGTTGAATTCATCACGGCCTCCATCCTATTATACAGGGTTATAGGGTGGTACTATGTCCCCAGCCTGCTATTCCTTCTTGTCACTAGATATCCTCTTTCTCGATTCATAATATTGGAACAAGCCAAAGCTCAGTCTGCCATCGTACGGGCAACCGATAGGCGGATAACACGAACAAGTGAGAGCATACGGGCTTTATTAATGATCAAGATACTTGGAAACGCACAATCTTTTATAAGGAGGATCCTCGACGAGAGGAAGCAAGAGTTACATGCTATCTGGCTGAAGATGCGTGTCATCATTCTCTCAGAAAGCCTTTCCTCTTCATGCTCCTTTCTGGCCATGGTCGCCAGTCTATGCCTTTTCATCTTCGCAGGGAAAAAGCCTTTAGCGCCGGATGTTGTCTTTACACTTGTCGCTGTATTCAATATTATCAAGAGTATGCTTACCTTAAGTGTACTTGGTGCTGGGCAATACGCGCAAGCAATGGTGAGCTTGCAACGATTAAGTGAATTTATGGATCGAAAGACTTCCCCAGTGGTCACAGACAAGATGAAGGCTCAAAAATTAGACCGTCGGGCTCCCTCATCTTCTACAGCGCAGGTCTTCGGAGAGTTCAATCACACTCAAGCAAGCCTTGACGTCGAGTTTGCCAGGTGCGGACTCAATGTAATTACGGGTGATACTGGGTAAAGCCATCCCTACCTCTCCTTTTATTGTCTTTTTCGAAGGAATTACTTACATCTGCGAAATAGGTCAGGAAAAACCTTGTTGGTACACTCATTGCTGCTTGGTGGATTTAGGAGCCAAGGCAGCACAGGACTCGACAAAGCACAATTCGAGCCGATTGCCTACGCACCTCAAGAGCCTTGGCTTTTCCGAGGTAGTATCAAGGACAACATCGTATTCGGGACTGCATATGATCAGAAGTGCTACGAGCGGGTCATTAGAGATTGCGCGCTGGAGAAAGACCTTGCAGCTTTCAAGGACGGTGACCTCAAAGAGGTAGGTGAAGGTGGTCGCAGTCTCTCTGGGGGTCAACGTCAGCGTGTGTCCCTTGCCCGAGCAATGTATACGAACGCAAATGTCGTCATATTGGATGATATCCTCTCGGGCTTAGATCCGAGCACCTTCGAATGGGTAGTGACAAGATGCGTCTTCAGATCGCTGCAACGGAACCGCACAATAATAATGGTTACGAATAGTCAGAAGATACTCCAAATGGCTGATCTAGTCATCCACACGGAGAATGGCAAAATCGCTCAAGTTAAGAAGAATCTCAGCAGTACAAGATGGCAAAGCGTGCCCGACACAGACTATGTCGATTGTTTGTTCCATGATCGGCCAGAAGCCTCTGAAACATTATCTGCAACTTTTGAAAGTACCGGGCGCAACGACGAGAGGGACCCGGTCTCTGCGGAGGCCCCTAACGAATGTGCTGATTTTCAGCGTGTGAGCAGTTTGAGATATGGTAAGTTTAGCAGCATTGTCCCATTTCCAGGTAATTAACCCTTCCAGCCGTCGAATACCTCCGGTCTTTCGGCAGTCGGCCATTCGTCACTTTAGCAGTGATTTCTGCCGTAGGCGCTCACGGCCTGGAGATTGGGCTCCCAGCATGGCTCTCGATTTGGAGTGCTATATCAGGGAGAAACGAAGACGCAGGTAGGGATGGTTTTTATCTAGGAATTTATACCGGTATGACGTCCCCTCCTGATCACATCAGCCGGCAAATGCTGACTACAAGAGCAGGACTCGGTTCAGCGCAAATAGCGATCCTCGCAGTCTCGCTGTTGTTGCTATACTCGGGCGCTTGGCGATCTAGTCGTGACAAGCATATGGAAATGATTTCCGCAATTTTCGGCACCACTTACACTTGGATCTGGAGTACCCCAGTAGGACAGGTAATTAATCGTTTCTCGTCCGACGTCGCAAGTTTGGACGACACACTATTCAGGACTTTTCGTCCAGTTTTGGACACATATCTGTCAATTGGCCTCCGAATTCTCACTGTAACATCGCTTATACCGCTCTTCTTTCTGCCCTCTGTCGTGCTGTCTGGGTTTGCAATCTACGTGGGCTACCGTTACCGTTTTGCAGCAACCGCCGTGAAGCATATCTACGCCGCTAGTCTCACGCCGCTGCATCACAGTATTGCGGAAACTGCGTCGGGCCTTAGGACAATACACGCTTTTCGTGCCCAGGCGATGCTACAGAAGCGCTTTGATGCGGCCGTTGAGCACCATGTCCAGGCATGGAATGCCGTCAGTGACCTTCAAAGGTGGCTGGCAGTACGGATGGATATTTTCGTCGCTTTGATATCATGCTCGGCGGCAACATTAGCTATATTGCGGCCGAATTCAAGTGCACCTGTTGTTGGTCTTAGTTTGACCCTCACAACCGGCCTCTGCACGGCTCTACTTTGTAGGTTCTCTTTGTCTGGATGTTAGTGGTTGTATCACTAACCATCTAGATCTGGTTTATCTCTCGAGTCTTCTGGAAGTGGAGATGGCCAGTTACTGCCGTATCAAGAACTATATCCAGGGAATTCCACAAGAGGATTCTTCTGCTAAGCTTGACGCTTGTGCAGTAGAACATTGGCCAACGCGGGGATTGATATCCTTTGACAACTACGGGGCCAGCTACTCGTTGGACGGAGAGGAAGTTCTCAAGGGTGTCAACTACAGAGCGAATGCCGGCCAACGAACAGCTATTGTCGGTCGCACTGGAAGCGGAAAGACTTCCCTGGCACTGAGTCTGCTACGGCTGACGACTAGGACGCGTGGATCCATATCCATTGATGGCGTTGACATTGAATCGGTTTCGGTTGAAAATCTACGGCAGAGCATAAGTTTTATCCCTCAAGATCCCACAATGCTTGATGGAACAATACGTTTCAATCTGGACTTCAACGGAGAGTATGACGAGGGATATCTGCAATCCATCCTGGATGATGTGGTGGGTACAAGGAAATGGAGGCTGGATGACACGGTCGAACAGAATGGGAGAAATTTCTCACAAGGCGAGAGACAGCTCATTACCCTCGCACGAGCTATGGTAAGCAAACACAAAATTCTCATCATTGATGAGGGGACCGCTAGTCTGGACAAAGCGAGCGAGGACCGTATCATGGCTGTCATTCGGGACTGCTTCAGCGAATGTACGGTTATAGCCATCACGCACAGGTTACACAGCATTGTCGATTTCGACCGAGTCCTCGTAATGGGCGACGGCCAAGTTCTGGAGGCGGGAAATCCTCGTCACCTTCTTGGAGGGGAAAGTCTTTTCAAAGCATTGTATCTGCAGCAGTGTGGCACGGATGCCCATATCAGTGGCAATCTCAGCGACTATCGCCAATCATAAGGTATTATCTGCGTCGACATATCCAAGATATGAGCCCCTGGAAAATCTGCAGGCTATGCGTCCCCTCTAAAAGCAAGAAAAAAAAAAGGGGGGGGGGGGGGGGAGGGGAAAGGGAAGAGAGAGAGAGATAGAGAAAAGAAAGAAAGCCAGTCGGAATGTAAGACAAGAATTTTGCATGGTGCGGTGCTTATCTCTGACAGTAAGGACAAACATTTTTGAGCCTTGACTCCTAAATACAGATGTTCAAGTCACCAAAATTCTTGAGTGCTAGAACAGAAAGTCTAAATTGAGGAGTAAACGATCACTGCGTTTGCCTCGCTTATGTTTCAAGGGGTAGAACAAAGAAAGAGGCTAGACACACTCGCTGAGCTTGGACTTGTCACATTCCTCACTTCTTTGTTCCTCCCGCCTGCTTAGCGTGGCATCTGGGGGCCTATCTATCTAGTCACTGCAGCGTGGATCGTTCGCTAGCCTGTCGATCCCTTGCGCCTAAGCTGTTTGCTGTCCTTCCGATAGCCTCGACTAGGTTTTTAGTTGGCATAACTTGACATAGCTCAAACGGTTTCGACGTCCCAAGGGAGATGAGCGTGATCTTGTATAAGCATCAGCTTGTTGCATCACGTTTTCAAGTCGCAGAAGCAGAGCAATCTCTGTCCGCAGCACTTCAATTTTGAATAGTATTGTCCTCCCCAGTTCATAACGCGATCTGCTCCATACTACCCAGTCCGTCTCCTTGTTGCTGCGATGCCCCTTGCCGCTTCGCAAGATAAACCTGTTAGAAAACGCAATGTCGTCTCGCGTGGTCGAACCGGTTGCCTGACTTGCAGACGCAGAAGACTCAAGTGCGATGAGACGAAACCTGGGTGTAACAATGTGCGACTCTCATTCGGGTTGTTGGCTCCATGCCTGTCCACTTCCAATGCTAACGACCATATCAGTGCAGACGTATCAACCTTCCGTGCGAAGGATATGCTCAGAGGATTACTTTCAAGGACCAGACAAAGCTCGTCGTTGCAAGAGTGACAGGCAGTCCAGTGGGGAAGAAAGCGCGGCCATCAAGCTCTAAGAATGAGGAGTATGACGAGCCAAACGCCACATTGCTCAATTCCAGCAGCCGGAAATCGATCGGTGTAAGAGGACCACCTTCTCCTCCGTCGTCCGAGTACTCAGAATCATGTTCTCCTGTGGAACCGAAGCAGGAAGATACGAAAGCTACTTTTCAACGAGATCCAGACACTCCGACCAATTCTGATCCTGAAGCATACTCTGAGATTAAATCTGACCAAGGGCATTTAAGGCCTGAATGGCCCGATGTTCTCCATACAGCCCCGGATTCAGCGATGGTGATGCACGACGGCTGCTTTACTCCATGCTCGCCGACATCCGCAGGAAACGCGCTCTCGCCGCGACGTATCCTGTTCAATTCATCTCTCTCCCTTCTTGGAGCCTTTCAGTTCCCGGAGGACTACACGTATTATGAATACTCTGCAAACGGTCATCTGTTGGGTCTTTCAAAAGTCTTGCCTCTATCAGAGATTCTCAAATCACAAGCAATGTCCCACCACGTCTATAACGCCGCCATGGCCCTAGCAGCTCTCACAATGTCGAGTTTCGAGCCATATTCGAGAGGCTCGATCAATCTCCGCCGTCACGCTTTCCATCATAATCTCAGGGCTATTCAAGGCTTGAATGCAGAGTTATCCTCGAGCAGCGCGCCGGACGCTGCGAGTCGATCATGGAATTATGATAGGATTCTTTCATTGTTCGCCACAACCATGTTGCTTGCCAATTTTGAGCTTCAGCGAGGCGCCTTGCTTGCTTGGCGCTCGCACATGCAAGGTGCCGCATTATGCCTTAATACCGGATACAAACAGCTTATGCAAACTCCGGCAGGAATACTGTTGATCAGGTCTTTTGCGAGAATGGCACTTTTGTTGCGCTTATATAACAGAGACTACTCAGTTACCTCGCCGGAAACTATGCCCACGAAATTGTCACGATGGCTGGATCTGCTTTTGAAGCAATCGTCGCAACTACGGGACAGGATGTTGTTGCTGGTAGAAGAGGTAACAGCATTGGAGATACAGAAACGTCAGGAGCCCGAACTGGATAGTTTCTGGTCTAGCAAAAGTTCGGAGCTTCTTTGCAAGCTGGATAAATGGCGGACAGACGTACCAATTGACGAAGTTCCAGTGGATGATAACAATAGCGGAGCTTATCTGACGATATCTTCTTCTGATCCCGCATCTTTGATCCGCGTATCTGCGCTCGTTTTCCCCAATGCCAGGGACCCTTGCACTTCAGCCGTCAATTACGCAGCGTATCTCTGCACGAGCATGCGGGCGCGCACGCGATATCTTCCAGATTCAGGACGGATAGTTCCTCCTGATGCGGAGCGGACCGCAATCACCATATGTCGGATTGCAGCAGGGATACCGCCCTCGCGGTTCGGCGAGTCTTTCACGCACAGCTATGGCATGCTTCCCTCGGTAGTCGGAGCCTACCGGTGGTCGACGAACCCGGGACTGCGCAATTGGGTCAAACATTGGTTGGCAGGTTATCGGGGGCCGCGAGAGGGAATCTGGAACGTTCAACAGACGCTCAAGCTTCTCGCGACGATGGACAACCTGCCAAAGCCAGGTTGGCACTTTGTTGCTATGAAGGTCATTGACGAGCCGCAAGAACCATCGTCAGATCTCGACGAAGCTCACAGCAATGAGCCGTTCAAGGTAGTCTTGCAGGCCAGGGTCCAAAATGGAACATCCACAAATGTCTTTGTTGTCAAGTAGTAGATCGTCTTTCCGCTGACAAAGGCGCTTTTGGCAAACAGTATATTATGCCTTGTGCGTCAATTCTAGAATCGCCAGGGAGGACATTGTCGCTGGCAATTGTAGGGTGTCCGGGTCGACCCTGCTGCATATCGCGTGGCAGGTTCCTAACAGAGGTCCCATTGTTGGGCAATTCGAAGTCCATATTCTGGCGAGAATTCGTGCCCTGAGTGACATGACGTCTGTATCTTGAAAGAAGGAACTAGACCTGTTGGGTACCCCGGTGTTGATGCTTGATTGGGGAAAGGCCGAAATGTTCATATGACCACCTTACCTTAGCGAGCTCCATGATCCATCGACACTTCCCTCCGGCCGAATCCTTTCGAGGATTTCAACGCCACTATCTACGACACTGCAGTGCTTTTCTCACTCCTGGTTTCTTCGTGCATCATCTCTATCCCTTCCGCTGATACCTCCTGTATTGTTACATTATCATGGGACTAAATCTAGACGCACAATTGTTTATGTGACGAGGGAACCCTCGCATAGTCGATTAAATGCTCAATAGAGTGGGGATCGTCGAGGTCAGGTCTTGACCCTTACATTGCCTCTGCCCCTGGCTTTGATTACAGCGAATCAAACGACAAAGTTTGGCAAGCCAAGACACATGTTACTAATACAGAGTAGTGTTCCATGGGCTCTCCCTTGGACAGCCGTGGGAATTCATTCAGATTATTGGCTTACGGCTTGCTTTAAGCTCGCTGAGCGTTTCCGTTGGTCCACTTCTACAAGCTAGCAACCATTCGGAGATGGACCGTGTTTGAGACAACTCTCGATCAAGAAGACACTTCATTCGCTGCCTCCCCCAGCTGGGCCGTCCCTGGCTTTTCTGCTTTTAGGCGATCAGCAGAACGGTTCTTCAGCCGTTCAAACTTTCACAACATCGGAAAGTTCAGGATGACCGCCAAGAGCGGTGGAGTAACGGAACCTTTCACCTTGCTTTCAAGCTTAGGAGTGGAACGAGGAAAAAGCTGGCAGGCCTCACGAGAGGACAATAATACATCTCTAGACAGAAAGAGCATAGAGAACGGAGGCTACGCAAATATCTGGTTCTTGCAACTCTTTTCTCTCCACTTCGATCATTACTGCCCTGGCAACTACCGCTCAGTCGCACACATCTCTTGATTTCTTCTCCATCCTGAAGGTCCCATTATTGCCTGCATGGTGCTCCATCTGAAATATTGAAGTCATATCGATCGTGATAGTCTGCGCATACACCGTACCAGCCTTAAGAGAGTATGTAGCAGCCAAATACTCAAAAATGGTTGGGGTCCCACGAAGCACTGGTTGTCAGATTTGCATCAAGAGACGCATTAAGGTTTGATTCCTTTTTAGATTAAAACCCCATCTACCGATTTGATAGCTAACAGAAACAAATTAAGTGTGATGGGTTGAGGCCCAAATGCTCTCAATGCCGTAAATATGGTGTTCAGTGTCCTGGCTATGCAAAAGTCCGCAAATTTATGGACGAAGGACCCGTGATGAAGAAGCGATATGGGCAGACTGCAAATCTACTCAATGAGCACGAGGTCCAGGAAATAAGAAGAGAAGAGAGTCTCGCGCATCCGCCTGATTCAATCGACGAGCAGGTTTTCCCTTCTTTAGTTGCAAAGTCGATGACTCGGCAACAGCCTGCAGTATTCCGGGACTTCGTCCTCACGGCATTTCCCCGCTTTTTCGGTCTAAACAAATATCGCGTACATGTTCCTTGGGCGGTGTATGTAGCGGACGTTTTGGGGACAACTCCAGCCCTGGATGCGGCTGTTTTCTGCATCACGTCCGTTTTCATGGGACGTTCGAATCATGACGTCGCCCTGCAAAAGGCTAGCCGAGAGATGTACTCAAAGGCTTTAGTCTCCTTAGGAGGCATGATCAAGCATGACAAGATCATGCGCTCAAGGGAAAGCGTTAGCACATCCATCTTACTCAGTCTATTTGAAGCATACTCTCAGACAAGAGAGGATTCCTGGGCTCAGCATGCCGCCGGAGCCGCCCTGCTGATGTCCATGCGCGGGCCGAAATCCCATCTCACTGGGTTCGATCGCTGCCTGTATCTTTCCTTTCGCAGCTTTCTCGCTGCCGCTGCGTTCATCGAGGGCAAATCATGCTTCTTCGAAAAGCCAGAATGGCAATCGCTGATCGACAAGATCCGAAAACAAGACATGGCCGATC